TTTCCATTCTTGGGATACTTCATTTAGTAGTATGGGTTCCAGCTCTAACCAGGAAAATATAAGGTGTGCTATATCACCATTGTTTCTTAGAGCTGAATAGTACTCCATGGTGTACATATACCACATTTTATTAATCCATTCTTTGATTGATGGGCACTTGGGCTGTTTCCACAGCCCAGATGTCTTTTTTATAGAATGTCTTTTGTTCTTTTGGGTAGGTGTGCAGTAATGGGATTGCTGGATCAAATGGTAGATCTACTTGTATCTCTTTGAGTTATTTCCATATTGCTTTCCACAGAGGTTATACTAGTTTGCAGTCCTACCAGCAGTGTGTGAGTGTTCCTATCTCTCTGCATCCATGCCAACATTTATTGTTTTGGGACTTTTTGGTAAAGTCCATTCTCATTGGAGTTAAGTGATATCTCATTGTGGTTTTGATTCACATTTCCCTGATGATTACAGATGTTGAACATTTTTCCAAAACTCTTTATAGACATTGGCCTAGGCAAAGAATTTATGAAGAAGGCTCCAAAGGCAATCACAATAAGAACAAAAGTAAATAAATGGGACATGATCAAATTAAAAAGCTTCTGCACAGCCAAGGAAACTATCATGAGAGCAAACAGACAACCTACAGAATGGGAGAAAATATTTGCATGTTACACATCCAATAAAGGGCTGATAACTAGAATCTATATAGAACTCAGGAAAATCAGCAAGAAAAAAAATCAAACAACCCTATCAAAGAATGGGCAAAGGACATGAACAGAAACGTTTCAAAGAAACGATTCTTTGATTGATTCTTTTTAGGTCTTATCCTTAGATAGTTTGGGGCAACTTGTGACTAATGGCCTCCACTATTTAGAACAAAACTGTCTATAGCCTAAAGGATTTTCAACTGACATCCACGAACTTATTCTCTTGAGGTAGGGCAGTTAAGGGAGGATTATCTTCATTTTGAGTCTGAAGGCAGAGTAATTTCCTTCATATGGATGCAAAGTGATATTGTTAGTCTTCCAGCTACATGAGGAGTTGTAAAGAGGCTCAACTCGGGCTAATAGGAAGTCCAGACTATAGTTCAAACCTTTCCTTAATTATCCTGGGTAGGAATGGACCGTACAGTATCCCTCAGGGAAGAATCAAGAATGTTTCCACAGAGATTATATTTACTTCATCTCTTTCTCTGCTGAATGGCTCACCACTGAAAGCCATTAATTACTTTTACCTAGGGCCTGTAGAATCCCAATTTGTGGCAGTGGCTTTAAAAACATCTAGTTTATGACTTGGATTAGGCAGCTTTTAAGATGGTCTCCAGTGATCCCCACCCTCCAGTATTTATGCCCTCGTGTAATACCTTCCCCATAAGTGTAAGCAGAAGTGACATCACTTTTAAAACTAGGTTATTAAAAAATACTATGGCTTCCATTTGGGCACTTTCTTTCACTCTTTCTGATTCCTTGCTCTGTGGGAAACAAACTGTCATTTTGCAAGCAGTGGAATGGAGAGGTCCATGTGGTGAGGAAGTGCTGTGTCCAGCCAACAGCCAGGACCTGAGGACCTAAAATGGATCTATCTCTGAGTTGAGTGTTATGATAGATGACTGAAGCCCTGGTCAACACCTTGACTGCAGCTTCATGAGGCATTCTGACCAGAGACACCTAGCTGAACCATGCCTAGGTCCCTGAGCCACATAAACTATAAGATAATACATATTTGTTGTTTTAAGCCATTAAGTTTTAGTTTGTTACACAGCAATAGATAACTAACACATGGCAGGATTCATCAAGAGAAGGATTTGTCATCTTTAAGCTAATTGTTCTTATTCACATTTCAATTATTTAGGATATAAGTACCAATGATATGAAAGAAAATAATTTTGTATAGGCTCTCATAAATTTAATGATAAGGATTTGGAAAATGAAACCACATAATGATCAGGAAGTAAAAGGAAAACATAAGTGGCATCTTCCTATTTGAGACTAAATTCCTAGTTCCCTGAAAGGTATAGTTTGAGAAGGGAGGAATCAAGGATTGTTGGGAAGAGACTAGTACTATTTCTCGCTTCCTGTCACATCTCTTCAACTCAAGAGAAAGTAAATTTTCTCAATATACCATTCAAAGTTGGAGGTTAGGTGGGAGCATATGTGGGCCTGAAGAAACAAGTCATCTTCAATGAAGGTAGCAGCTTTGTTGAATAAATACCACATAGAAGTGAAATAAAGAGTAGCTGACAACAATGCTGAAGTAGTTAGACATGAAGCTTTAATGAACTATTTCATATTAAGATACACAGTAGGAACTCAAACCAGAGAGACCAATTAATAGATATTTTCCAAAACTCTGTTTTAGGGTGATCATAGACATGATCAAGGCTGATAATCATCTGGTACCCAGTTAGTCATAGAGGCTCACATTCATTCTGGTAGATGAATGGTATATTCTGATTGGCCAGTACCCACCCATATTGGCTGTTAAATATATATAACATCACTCCTGTACATGGTGAACTTATTTTATGTTTTGTTTTTCTTTAGCTGTGTGTTATTTATGTGTAAAGTTGTACTATGGGAGGTAGATGAATTCTTGTGTCTTATTCATGACTAAGTAAATGGCAATGGGGTAAGGGTATAAATGAAGCCACATGATAAATCTTGTAAGTCATCCTAAAGCACCAATTTTACTCCCTGCTGTTAATTGGAGATATTTTCATATTAAAGCAAACATAAATGTGTTATGTAATAAAATGCAAAATCACATGAATTGTAATATAAAAGAAGTTTTCAAGAAATTTTCTGTCTTTGGTGGGCTACCTTTGCATTATTCCCTAGACTCTCATTTTATACCTCTATCATTATAGGTATTTCAGTAGAAAATTATAAGGGGCACTGCTTTAGAGTGCTTGTTGTTACAGAATTGCTTTTACTATATAAAGCTGGGTCCCCTGGTCCATCTTTATGTTCTTTGGCATTCTAGAGAACCAGAAGAGCAAACTCTAAGAAATAGAAACTCTAAGAATTCATCTCCAGCATCTTCCTTCTCTTCTGTCATTTAATTGAATTTGCAGGCAACTCAAAGGCTGATGATTTATATTATGGATTATCTATGCCAAAATGTTTTAGTTCACTTACTGTATTGAAAGTATCTCTTGTGTTACTTTGGTAACATTTCATGTTCTTCTATTTAATCTTTTCCTTCCTAATTGTTGGAAACCCATGTATTTAATTTTCTCTTTCAAAGAGCATTTTAGAAAGGATCACTCTGTTTATATGGATTTTTTTTTGCAATACTTTCCATTCATAAATAAAGGGACTTATGTAAAAGTAGAATAGGAATCAGAATTGGAAATTGCATCATTTCTTTTCTCCTTTTGAATCAAATCATAGCAGCATAGATTAATCATTTGGTGTGAAGTGAATTGCCAAAACACGGTCATATTTGCGTGCATATGCAAAGATCATATCTCAATAAAAATAAAAAACAAAAACAGGATACCACTAACTAATAATCCTCATAACCTAAGGGTAAGAAGCATATGCTAAGTGACTTATACTTTTGTGACAGTTCTGTACCTAGCCAGCCATATGGGTTTGGGTGTATTAAAATCTCAATTTCCTGGTCTACAAATGAGTAAGAGGGACAGAGGCCCCTTACAGTTTTAAAATTCTACAGTTCTAAGTGTATGTAACTAGAACAGATTTTATTTTCTAAAATTTGCATCATAAATGTAAAAAATATAGGATGAAAACAAAGAATTAAAAGTAAATGTTTCTAGAAAAATATTGTAGACAATCTATACTATCAGGAATGGATTCACTGCTAAATATTGGTTTTGCCTAATTTGGCATTGGTGTGTAATTTGATGGTAATGATCACTCCACAGATAAGAGTATTTGGTCCTAATATAGCTTTTATCCTGTATGTATGTACACTATTTCTGTTTTAAATTCTATATAATCATGTTTCACTCTAACTCTTTAAAATTAAGTATGATTAGTTTCAGTATGAATTTTCTTCTATACTTAAACATTGAATGAATTCACATAAAAAATTGATTATGGACCGACACTCTGATGGTCACTAAGGAAAGAAATGTGAAAAACATAAGTTGTCCTCTGTGCTCTTTATGCTCACAAGATGCCTGTCATAGAAGCCTAATCTAGGAACCTAGGCTAGCAAGGTCCTTGAATCAGATGATAGTTTAGGGTATCATTCATGCTATCTTCCAAGAGCATATTTGAGGAAGAGCAATTCTTTTTAACTTCCTACAGCCTGTTCATGTAAGTGAAGCACAAGAAAATAAAGTGAATCTGTTGTTTCTGTTGACCTAGACATTTCGTATAATTATCACCTGTAAATGTATTACCAAATAGTATTTATGTAAAGGGACTTGAATGACAAATATTTTGAAATTAAAACCACAATGATTAGCATACCAACAGTTTAATTTAAATGAATGTTGGCTTCCATTGGCGAACATACAAAATACTACTAAGATCTGCTGCCAATGGAAGAATTTTGAAATAGGAATTAATCTTTATAAAAATCAATTATCTATAGCCTGCCCTCAAGCATTCATGATATTCAGGGTCTCCTTTCCCTAAGTATATCCTCTATCTGGGGCATTGTGCTTTTGCCATCTAATAGGAAAACAACTTTCAATGCTGCTATCTTTTGAATGGCAGAGATTTCTAGAGGTTAAAAAATTTCTAAATGTATATATACATAGTTTTTAAATATGATACTTTTCTATTCATGCACTCAACTATTTCTTACTTTGAAATCCTATAAACTCTTTTATTTGTAATGATTTAACTTATTTAATTCAATTGGCAAGAGAGTGTGTCAAAACATTTTTCACATATTTTTACTGTTCCCTGGGAGACATCTATTGTAAGCATTGCTGCAGGCTGTCATTTTTGTCTGCCTTCCAGGATTTGCTGGTCCAAGTGCTGTGTACTAGACTTGGTATCAGTCACAAGGGGGAGGGGAAATTTGCAGTTGAGCCAGACAGTTTTGTTATCCCTACAAAATTAAAAGCATATGAAACAGATACAGCTTATTAAGGTTGTTTTTTTTATAAATAACATAAACTTAAATAACAAAACAATAAAGTTCAAATACAACTTAAAATAGAGTTTAATGCTGTAACCACAGGAAAAAAAGCATGATTATTTATGGAAAGAACATTATTCAAAGCCATATTCCCAAATATGAATTATATAAAAGATAGATTATGTTATTTGAAAAAAAACTTGAGGATTTATGAATTTTACTTTTAGGGATTATAAAATGTTATTTTGTGGCAAGTGAGATGAAGTACAGTATTATCAACATTATTGCTATTTTACATATAAGATTTTTTAAAATATCCCCTTTCAATTTGAGCAGCATTAGGAACTTTGTTCTTGTTAATAGGTTCAAGCATGTTCTAATTCTATACTTTTGTAAAACTACCTGTTTGACTCAATTTCATAATAGAATTTTAGAGAATATTCTTTTTATTCTGACTAGAGTTTAAGCAACTTATAATTTTTTCACTAGAAAGCATTTTAAATACTGCTCATCTTCCATAGTTAGTGTTGGCTTGATTATCTGACAAATCATTCCAGCAGCCTTTAGGTCTGACATATCTTATATAATATCATCTGCATTATTATTATTATAGCAGCCATTTTATAAGCAGATAGGAATATTTAAATAATCATTATCAGATAATCAAATCTAGCATACTCTTAAGGGTAAATTAATTTAAGAAAAAAACATTACTAACACCATGATTGTACAACCAGTTTTACAAGTTTTTACAACCTTTAGTTACTAAATCTGATTTTTGTGTATACTTTTCAAATCTTTCTTTAATGCAGTGTCTTAAACAAAAATGCACAAGTCCAGCTTGATCAGTTTTTCAGTAGTTTTCCAGCCTTTCTTGGTTACTTAAAAAAGAAAAAGAAAAGAAAAGAAAGAAAGAAAACAGTCCACTTAAAGAAATCTCCCTGCTCGAACTGGTTTCTTATGGACCATATGCGATTAAGTTATTGCCATAGGAAGAAAGTGGGCTGTTTTTTGTTCTTTCTTCGTTTTTTTTCCTCTTACAGGAACTCCCTTTTGATTTAAGGCAACAAACATTTCTCCACCATTATGTGTCCATTTAGCTGATGCATATGTATTATAGTGGTTTTCCAGAATTAATTCTTTGAAGTTGCAATCTTCATTGCATTCTTTCTGTTAAAACAACAAACAAACAACATTATCCAAATGACATTTAGAGGGGCTCAATTAAACAAAAAATAAGCAGGTAGTATTTGGCAGAATTGAAACATACGTGACTGTTTTAAACCTCAGGTCAAGTAGGCCTAATGGAGTTTATTATATATACTTGTGTAATATATTTGCAAAAAAGGGCATCTTAAATTTAAAACAAAAAAAAAAGATAAGGTAATACACAGTTATACAACATGGTTTCAAAAATGTAGCTTTTTAGCAGTATCTATTGTTCTTTAGTATTAGGATCTATTTTCCCCTAATTAGTAGACCTCATATTGCTCTTTCCAAGTCACTCATTCTCTGAGAAGCACTGGAAATGTGATATGTTTAGAAGAGTTCTGCCTCCCTCAGGTGAGGGACATATTTCACAACTTTTCTTCATTTACTACTACATTGCCTTCAGTGGTAACGGGAAATAAAAAGTTAATTTATTTGTTTATCCATGTAACCATTCGCTCATTCAATTAAACCTATAGTATTTCATATAATAATTAGCCTGTGCCAGGCATTATGCTGAGCTGTAGGAATACAAAAGAAAGTCAATTATACTTTATTATAGTGGGATGAACTGTTACATATTTTGCATTATAATAAAGTGGGAACAATATGACTGCTTACAGTTCAAAGCCCATGATTGTGAGATTGATGTTGATAAATGAACTGAACACTTCAGGACTTTTTTTCTGCAAGAATTTTCATGTCAGCAATGTGCAAATTGGGTGAACTTTAACAAAAAGAGCTTTAATACTGAAAAAGCGGAAAGTTTAGACTTTAAATATCTAAAATGCACATGGAATTTTAGAGCTGGAAGGATACTTAAAGGTCATTCAATAGATGAAGAAACCAAAGTCCAGAGGGCTCAAGCAATTTGTCCAAGGTTGCCCAGAAAATATTTTTTCTTAATGCCTGAGTATAAAGTATTTTAATGAAATCATTAAGCTATGCAGTTGGAGAGAAATTAATTCCATTTTTACTTTTCAGAAAGGCAAGATTTTTGACAAAATTAACTTTCAAAAATTAAGTATAAGGTATCAGTTATTAATACCTTTGCATAGAGTTTTCCTTCCTTGTTCATTGCAAGATAGTATTCACTTTCCACCCCTTTGATTGCCACAATTCCAACTGCCACTGTCCTGATTTCCATGATATCTGCAAGGGACCACAGAAAGATATGTCAATTATTCATTCAGGTTTGCTGATTATCCAAGAATAGCCATTTATTCTTATTTCTGTTTCAACCGGAAGTTGTTATGATTATTAATGTGATTATTTTCTCAGCCTGAGATCCCCCTACCCATAACACATACATACAAATATCAGAGTGGTCATTAAATATAGGAAGTGCATACTGATGATTTTTTATTTTGTAGAAAAAGATATCTGTATTCAAAGAAATAGTTATATATTCAAATTAAGCTTTTTATTCCCTAGAATTACATTTCTAATTTACTGTAATAGTAACAATAATGCCTAATGTTTATTGAACTCATACCATATGCCAAGGATTGTTCCAGTGCTCTTATGTATTAACTCATTTAGTCATCCCTGCAGACTATCAGGCAGGTACTCTTATTATCCCCATTTTATAGATCAAGAAACTGAAACACAGTAATTTGCCCAAATTCTTGTACCTGGAAAGTGACAGAACTGCAATTTTAACACCGACAGTCTGGCTCTTAATCATCATATAATACTATGAAAGTATATAATAAGCTAACATCTTTACTTTTCTATTTGGCTAAAATTTATCTTGAAATGTTTGCTAACATAATAAGTCTTGAATATACCGAAAGTGAATAAAATTCCAATTAAAGCAATTATCAGTGATGGTAAACAAAGCCTACTGCCTTAAAAAAAAGAATGTTTTAAATTGATAGTATGTCTTATTTAAATAAAATTTTTAATCCTGTTATATAATATTTTATAACTATATTTTTATATATAACATATATTTTTATATATAACTAATTTTAAATATAACTTTATATTTTTATAATTAATTTTTAAATATTTGTTGAGCAAATATTATATTGGGACAAAAAATATTCAGACATTATATTGGGACAAAAAATAAGAAGGAAGCTAATTGAGATATATAAATATATTCATATCTATTCTAAGAACTAATAAAGCTCTATACAACTGTTACTGTCCTGAAAAAAATCTTTGTTGACATTTTTTTTACAAAATGTGTACTTTCACAAGATTGTTAGCTTACCATTTACTTTCATTTTATATGTCTTCCTTAAATACTGTATTTTAATGATACACTACACTAAAATTTCAAGAAATTTATTCAGATGATGCAGGGATTAAAAGTTTAGTGCACCTTTTATATAACTTGCTGTTAATTATACTCTCTACATGAAGGTGCAGCCCTGAGACATCGTCTTACCTGTGCCTAATGCAATGCAAAGAAAATGCCAAGTGAAAATTATCTGTGTAAATTAGCGCTCCAGAAGCTGTTTTCTAAAATATTCACTTAATTAAAGGAAAATCTGATTTTTCCCCCATACCTTCACTTAATTCTCTTATTTATCCCTTTGGCTTCAGTTTTCTTATCTGGGTAATAAAATTGCTACACACATCATTGAAATTGAATGTAGCCTAGCTAATATTTGTCATCTGCCTCACATATATACTGTGTACAGAATCTCTTTTCCCAATACTCTGTATACTTCACACTATTCAGAGCTCATCCAGTTGGGAGTTTCATAGCTGCCCATCTAGAAATTGAGTTTATGAAGAAAATGCAAAGGAATGGATAGTAATATTTTTAAGTATTTATGAAGCATTGTCAGAATGCATAAAACAATACTGTAATTTTTGGATACAAATTGAGAAAAACAGCCCTGTTTTCTGAACTTGAGAAGTTAAAATCTAATAGAAACAGCAAACATATATGTATATATATCTTAATTAAAAGAGAGCAAAGCATTTTGGAGAACATAGGTCTGAAGAGGCTACAGAAAATTTTAATAATTGCTTAATAGTTGCTTATAAGCACATGAGGAATTATGACATTGATTGCTACATTCAACAGATTCTCACTGAGAGCCAATTCTATGCCAGGTTCAATTCACAGACAAGTCCTGACTTCTTTGAGCACTCTCTCTGGTAACTATAACTATAACTCTTCTTCATTTTCATTAAATGAAGCACAAATGAAAATAATATACCATGCAGCAGAATACTAATTGGTTAAATTTGTACTGATACAGTGAGGAATACTGAAGAAATTCCTTGATTCAACAAATTTGCATTATCTCCAAAATTGAGTAAATGTGTCTATTTAAGGACCTATGGCATAGTTGGTTTCTAAAGGTCTTACCATTATAAAATTGTACGAGGTCAATGTTTTCCTTTATCTCAAGTCCTTTACTCCTACCTTTCCTCCCTTTATTCAATATTACATTTTCTTTTAGATGAAAAGGAGAATGCTGACGTAGCAGGCTTAGAGTCTCTTTCATGCTCAGCTATTTTAGGGAATGAAATCTCTAATGTTTGCTAGCTTTTCTTTTACAGAAAAATTGCCCATAAAATATAACTGTTGAATAATAGAGTTATTGTTAATATTTGTGGACACCTTCCCTTTCAGGTTAAGCCATGACATTATGTCCATATTGGCCCATTCCCAAAGCCTTTCCTCTATTCCCTGCCCATTGCCCACCATTTCTTCATTGCACTTTAACACTCAATAGGTGATGAACATTGTTAATCTTATCCCTCCATATATTAGGGTTAAGGATACCAAAAAATTGTTGTAAAGATTTTACCATTAACTAGGACAAAAATAGACTTAAAAATGACTAGGTTCCTATTTTATTTATTTATTTATTTATTTATTTATTTATTTATTTATTTATTTTCAGCATATTACTAGGTTCCTATATTTTTAATTGCTTGACATATTAAAAAAATTCTTTCACACTGGGAAATCAATGTATCTAAAAGTCAATTGCTTGGGACAGCATTAAGCAATGTTGGCAAAATCAATACCATATATCAACCCTGACTTTATAGTTGTTTTGCTCTTTATCCTATGTTCCTTTTTATTAAAGAAGACTCAAGATGAAGAAATTGAGGAAAGAAATAGCAGAGGATGTAAACAGGTGAAAGACCATACCATGCTTGTGATTTGGCAGAATTAACATTGTTAAAATGTCTATACTACCCAAAGTGATCTACAGAGTCAATGCAATAACTATTAAAATACCATCATCATTTTTCATAGAGTATAGAAAAAATAATTTTACACTTCATATGGAACCAGAGAAGACCCCATATAAGTGAAGGTAATCGTAGGCAATAAAAACAAAATGGGAGGTATTAATTTACCAGACTTCAAACTATACTACAAGACTGTAGTAGTCAAAATAGCTTGGGACTGGCATAAGAACAGGAACATTGACCAGTGGAACAGAACACAGAACTCAGATATAAAACCATCCTCATATAGCCATCTAATCTTTGACAAAGCAGACAAAAACATGCACTGGGGAAAAGAATCTTTATTCAATAAATGGTTCTGGGAAAACTGAATAGTCACATATAGAAGACTGAAACAAGATCCACAACCTTTCACCTCTCACAAAAATCAACTCATGCTGGGTAATAGACTTAAAACTATGGTGTGAAACTATTAGAATTCTAGAGGAAAGAGTTGGAAATACTCTTGTAGACATTGGCCTAGGCAAAGAATTTATGAATAAGACCCCAAAGGCAATCACAACAGCAACAAAAATAAATAAATGGGACCTGATCAAATTAAAAAGCTTCTGCACAGCCAAAGAAACTGTCCCAAGAGCAAACAGACAACCTACAGAATAGGAGAAAATTTTTGCATGCTACACATCCAATAAAGGGCTGATAACTAGAATCTATTTAGAACTCAGGAAAATTAGCAAGAAAAAAATCAAACAACCCTATCAAAATGTGGGCAAAGGACATGAACAGAAACATTCCAAAAGAAGACAGAATAATGGCCAACAAAGATGAAAAAATGCTCAACATCTCTAATCATCAGGGAAATACAAATCAAAACCACAATGAGATATCACTTATCTCCAGTGAGAATGGCCTTTATTAACAAGTCCCAAAACAATAAATGTTGGTGTGGATATGGAGAGATAGGAGCACTCCTAGATTGCTGGTGGGACTGCAAACTTGTTCAACCTCTGTGGAAAGCAATATGGAGATACCTTAAAACAATACAAATAGATCTACCATTTGATCCAGCAATCCCATTACTGGGCATCTACCCAAAAGAACAAAAGGCACTGTATAAAAAAGATATCTGCACTCAAATGTTTATAGCAGCACAATTCACAATTGCAAAGATGTGGAAACAACTGAAGTGCCTATCAATACATGAGTGGATTAATTAAGAGAATGTGGTAGCTATAATATATATACACCATGGAGTACTATCAGCTATAAGAAACAATGGTGAATAAGCACCTCTGTATTTCCTGGATAGAGCCGAACCCATTCTACTAAGTGTATCCCAAGAATGACAAAAATAAGGCACCACAGTACTCACCAGCAAATTGGTTTCACTGATCAATACCTAAGTGGATATCTAGTAATAACATTTATTGGTATCAGGCAGGTCTGGGAGCAGGGAGTAGGCGAGGGGTATATACAACATAAGAGTGCAATGCACAGCCATCTGGAGGTTGGACATGCTTGAAGCTCTGACCCGAGCAGGGAGAGGCAAGGGCAATTATGTTAGCTTAACATTTGTACTCCCATAATATGCTGGGAAGAAAAGAATGAAGAAATTAACATTATCACTCTTTGTTCAGGTGTAGAGTGGAAGCTATGTTCCTTCAATATGTACAAATACGTATAGAAGTATGTTATAAAGTAAACTTATGAAATTCTATCCTCCAGAAGCCAGGAGTGTGCTCAGAAAGTATAACAAAAAATATGATAATGTGTAATGTTAAATGTGCTACCAAGCTGAATTAGATCGTGAAGGATGGAGAGATTAACAGTGGTAGAAAAGAGAACATTATGTTGATTGAGAAAGAAAAGTAGTTCGTACAAAGATAGCAGCAGAGATCCAAAAGTCAGTGTCAGAAGACTGAAACTAGAGCCATCTGTCTGGACATTAGGAAGGTTAACAAATAGTTAAGAGTGAATTA